TGTGAACTTTCCAGGCAGCCATGTACATCTGTGTTTGGAAGCTGCTCGTGGACAGGTAGCCATGCTCCTTGGAAGAGGGGAAATTACTTTCTGAGTCTCCAGTCTGCTTATCTGCAGCAGCCTGCTCCAGTTAGCTCCTTGTGTTTACACTGAAGAGCATTTTATAATGCTTATTGTTTTAGTAGCTAGGTGCAAAGATTATGCCTGCTAATGTTGCCTAATTGCATTTTTTCTTCTGTTTACAGGCTGTTGAAAAGGCAAAACCTAAGAATAATTCTGTGAAGTAAGTTTTTTTTATTATTATTAGTTGAAAATGTTCATTTTAATGGAATACGTGCATGTGAAAAAAGGTCACAAAAGGGAACATGGATTTTGAGTTAATTTCTATTCATGGCAATTTAAAGACAAAAACAAAATAAGCGAAAAAAATATTTAAAAGGCCCTCCAATGAGCAGGGACCAGCTTATAGTTTCCCCTGTGTCTCTGATGAGGAAATGCCCCAAGTTGTACCCAGTTTACATAAATTAATATATGCCATCTATGAATAGCTGCCAAAGACTATTATAATCATACTCAATACATAGTACTTCAAGCCTTTGGGTTTTGCACATGCTAAAAAGATTACATTTTTAATTGCAAACCTTGGACCTTCGACAAAGATGTAAATGGCTGAAAGTGTGCCAAGTGATTTCCAGCCACGTGGGGAGGTTTGGCACCTTGGCATCAAGACTTCAATACTCTGTTAATGAAAAGCTCATAAAAATATATTTAACTAAAGGTTTGCCTAACTCACACAAAAATATTATATTTCCAAGGCTTTTTATGGGACACTCTTAAATTATAAACATACAGCACACTACTCTTTTAAATATAGTACATCATAGACATCCTGTCTCTTCCAGAAGGGAGACTTTAAATTAAGAATGATTTAAGAGGGATGACTGTCTTGTCATTTGGGTATGTGACATCTGATTGCAGTGTTATAATGCATTCCAGTCCTTCCAGCCATGTGGCTGAGGGAGGAACTGCCCTTTTCCTGGGTTATTAAAGATCTGGTAATATCACATCTCTAGGAAATATGTGTTAATTTATGTCAGTCGACTACCATTATAGTTGCTACCAAATGCAGAAATGGGGAGTGCATTGATTTTTAATAGCTTCTAGGAGAATGGATCAGATAATGCCAATGCTTGTGTTTTATAAAAGAATGAACTTTTCCAGGGCATCAGGGTAGTGTTTATGAAATCATTCACTTGAAACCCTAATACATTTTTCCTCAAGGGGTGTGTACTTTGTTATTGTTTTTAATTTTCATTTTTTTAAAGACTACAGAGTATTTCTAGTCAGGCTTCTATAGTCTATAGAGGGGCATCTGTAGTCTGGAGTCATAGCATGGTATCTGGTTGTTTGGTTGAGATTGAAATATCGGCAGCCTGATTTCTTTTCTGTCTGTGTGCCCTGAAGGCTGCTTTACTATGAGCCTATGGTTGGCAAGCTCTATGGATTAGAGGATGGTGCTAATGAGACCAAGACCAGGAGTTTAGTCCCTGGGTGGGCCATTAGTGATCTTCTTTTCTACAGTCCAACTGCACCCCTCCTAGTCAACCCACATGTAGATGTGTACCCCAAGTCACAAGGGGTGGGCAAGGGCTGGAGGATGAGTATAAATCTAGGCCTTTGATGGGGGAAATGTCTCTAAGTTCTAACTCTCCTAATAGGAAGTGAGTTTTAAGTTCCATCTTTATGTAGACAGATAGCCATTGCCATGTGTGGAGCTACATTAAATTCTAATCTGATGGCCTAGAAATAGGACCAGTTTTTTTCTTTATTCCTTGTGAGAACTTGACTCTACAGATAATTATATTTTTTATGAGTTCTTGTTAATTGACAGTATAGATTCTAATGTCTAATATCTACAGTAAGAACTGAGTTTCCAGCTTCAAAATTGTGAAGAAGAACATTGTGCTAGTTTTGCTGTCACATCTCAAACTGCAAAGGTTATAGCCCTTAGTGAAGATGGGAAAGGCATTAAACTTCTCAGTGGAAGTTGAGCAGAAATGTGTCCCAACTGATGGCCATTGGATTCGGAGGTATCCAAGGTTTCAGGCATCCCCTGGTGTGGGGATGTCTTAGGAAAGCTCCTCTATGGATGAGGAGTAAACTATGGTAGTCTCTGGGGCAGTTTGACAAATGGTTGGGGAAAAGAGATTATTTCATGGCATATGAAATTATGTGATATTCAGATTTCAGAATCTTTAAATAAAAGTTTATTGGCACACAGCCACACTCATCTGTTTCCATACTGTCTGTGACTGTTTTAGTGCTACAATGGAAAGTTGAGGAATTGAGACAGAGACTGTGGATATCACAAATTAAACTTATTTCCCATCTGGCCCTTTAGAGAAAATGTTTACTGACTCTTAAATTTTTTTTAATCTTTTTTAAAATTTTATTTAACTCTTTCTTTCTTTTCTTTTCTTTTCTTTTCTTTCTTTCTTTCTTTCTTTCTTTCTTTCTTTCTTTCTTTCTTTCTTTCTTTCTTTCTTTCTTTTTCTTTCTTTTTCTTTCTTTCTTTCTTTCTTTGTTTTAATTTAACCAGAGAGGGACAGAGTGAGTGGGGGGGGTGGATGGGAGGTGGGGAGAGGGAAAGTGAAAGCCACCAGGTCTGGGACATGAACTGCAGTCAGCCATGTGGGAGTCCAGCGCCTTTAACCACCACGCCACCTGCCTGCCCCAATGTTTACTGACTCTTGATCTAGTTAGATAAAAAAAAAAAAAGAAAAGAAAAAGAAGAAGAAGGAAAAAGAAAACGAAAGGCACTAAGCTTTCTTGTGACTGAAGGTTAAACTAGCAGCCCTTTCTCTTTTGATCTTTAAATCAGTGAGTATATATTCACATAGCCCTTAACGTGTTTCAGGACTTTCTGGTACTAAAGTATCACATAATTCTCATTCAGAACAAGGGGACTCACTCTTCACTCACTACCTTTTAAAAATGCATGTATGAGACCCATCAGTGGGCAGTTATGTCTCAGATGCCAGTGAATGCATATCTAGGGCCCACTGCTCATCTTCCAAATTATGTATAGTTGGACATATTGCAAAGGGCATATGTATTTTCTAAGATTTTGTTACTTTCAGATCTATCTAAATCTAAGTAAGTTTTCAATTAGGGTGATAGTAAATGAGTCATGATTTCCATTTGGTTAGTACATTTTTCTCTCTAAAAGGATAACTTCCCCTCCCTGTTTCTCAACCACGTGTTCAATTTATTTTAATACTTTCATGGTTGTGAGCTTCTTTCATAACCATAGGGAGACTGTAGTACACATTAATTACACTCCATATAAAGGAGAAATTAAATATATGCCTAGTGAATGTAAGCACATAATATACCTGGATACACTAATGACTTTGTCTTGAAACATTAAACATTACCTCTGAGGGTAACACTCAACATCAAATGTTCTTAAGATCTGCGATCGGTACAAGACATGCATGGTGTATTTCTCAGTGTATTGACACCATACTGTATCCAAGCTTCATTATTATGTGAGAACTGTGGCTCTTGAAAGTGTCAGAGAGACTTTCACTTGTATGTTAATGTTCTGTAGCAATCATCTCTGAGATTTTATTGTGACAGCAAGGCCTGAGAGATGTACAGATTTCCTCCACCATATGTGACTTATCACATACATTTAAAAAACCCACATTTCGGTTATTAAGACATATGTGATAGTACACTTCTGAAAATGTGAATTGCTTTTGGCTAAAAGCCATGCACTAATAAGTTGAGTTGAAACTAACTGAGGTTGACATCTGTTACCAAAAAGAGAAAAAAATAGAGACAGAGAACACAGTTATGTAGCATAAAATTCCTCCCTGCTTTTACACTTTAACAACATTAAACATTGCAGTGGTGGTCTTTCACAAAACAGGATCTGAATCTACTCTGCTTATGAAATTACAGCCTTAGTTAGGAACCAATTCATCTTATGGACATGGTGGTTTCATTATTGGAAATGACAAATAGCCACAAAGACTTGCCTGACCATGATGTTTGTGCATTATTCATTTATTCATCTAATGAATATTTATTTAGTATCTACAGCATCCTGGGAACTGTAATAGATGCTGAAGGAATTAAAAATAAATCTGACACAGGTCTTACCCTCGAGGAGTTTAGAGTCCAGTAGGAGTGATAAAATTGCTTTGTAAAGAACTAAATACAAGATATATAGAGAGATGGTTGTTAAGTAGGGAACAAATAAAGTAGGAGAGAAGCTCTAAAGAGAGCAAGAACTTCTCATTAGCACTATCAAAGAAGGAGGAAGAAATGGGGAGGTGGTGACTTTTGCACCAGGACTTTAAGAACTGCTGGTTTGAGACACTAGTGGGATGTGGCAGGGGAAAGCCAGGAGCCCTGGGTCCCCTGCCTGATAGTGTTTGGGCAGTGAAAAGACAGGCTGGAAGCCAAGCATGAGAAGAAATGGTAACTCAGGGCTTTGGAGATTTAATCTGGTGAATGAGATTTGCTTGGTAAAGTCAAATAGCTTTGAAGACCTCTTAACCTGTTACTGAATGTGAGCCATTAATTAGTCCCCTAATTATTAAACATAAAGAACTGATAGACATGGGTTCTAGTCTTAAGTCTGGCATTAGTTTGTTGTACGAAATTGAAAACATCCCTTCCTTGCTACAAGCCTCAGCTAGATTATTTACAGGTTCTTCTGCTTCTAAAACAAACAAACAAACAAACAAACAAAACAAAGTTGAGCTGCTCCCATGATCTGGTGGTTAAGACGGCCATGGCCAACTGAGCAGTTTGAATGCCAGCCCTAGTGCCTTGAAAAATATATGCCACAAATTCCAGCAAGGAAGACAGAGAAGAAGGGATTGTGGTATAGCCAAGTCCCACTGGGGGATGCTTTCTCCCCCCTCCATCTCTCTCTGTCCCTCTCTGGTAACCATACATGCAAAAAAAAAAAAAAAAACAAAAAG